GGAACAGCAGCCTCGGGTCCATCATCGACGACTTTCTTTTCTCCATTACATTTCGAGCTTTGCCGTAACGCGAGGAAAGATTGGTCACCCTAGTCGGTGTCATTTTTCGGAACAGCTCATGCGGGGGTGGTACGAACAGCGCGTTCACTCGATCCTCGTCGTTGACTTAGAGATTCCATTTCAAGATGAGACTTTCGGCTCAATTTCATCGTAAAGTCGAAGAAGATATGCGTAGGGATCGAGAAAATATCGCGTATCGATGTTAGAAGGTTCAAACAGCAGAAGATTAGCTGTAGTATTTCACATTGATACATGTATGCTTTCTTTGTAAAAGACGCGGTGTGAACCTAAACGTTCTTCCACTACGAATTGGTGCACTTTGTGGTCCACTTTATAGCATAAAAAAAAGAAAAGACCATATGAGATTTGTGGTGAGACTTCCGTCTCAATTTCGTTGCAAAGTCGAGGGGAAGAAAAGTGTAGAGATCGAAAAAATATCGTGTATTAATACTAGAAGGTTCAAACTGTGAAAGATCAGATGTACTGTAAGCTTTCGGTGTATTTCACATTGATACACGTATGTTTTCTTTGCAAAAAACGCGGTGTGAATGTAAACGTTCTTTTATTACAAATTAGTGCACTTTGTGGTGCACTTTATAGCATAAATGAAAGAAAAGACCATGTGAGATTCGTGGTGAGACTTCCGTCCCAATTTCGTCGCAAAATCGAGGGGAAGAAAAGTGTAGAACTCGAGGAAATGTTCAAACAGCGGAAAATCAGTTGTACCATGAGCTTCAGGTGTATTTCACACTGATGCACGTTGTATGCTTCCTTTGCAAAGGACCCGGTGTGAACCTAAACGTTCACTTCCACTACGAATTAGTGCACCTAGGGAGAAAAGAAAAGCCCACATGTATGAACGACGAATTGGAGAAATCTCGTGACAATGGGATTGTCTAATTTATATGCAAGAGGGTGTAATTTAATTGCGATTACCTATTGTAATCGAATTTGGAAACGATACTGGGGAATTTCAACGGTCTCCGAGACGAAGTAGCCTGGAGATGCTCGCGCGTGAACCGAGACGATACCTGGCAGGAAACGGCTCTAGCGTATTTTCGCACGGTGCGCGCGTTTCCGGTCACTGACACGAGCAATAAAGCGACCTGGAAGAGACGTCGTTTTTCTCGTTAGTGTGTCACGGTGCCACTCCTAGCGGTACACCGCGCGCACACATCGGTCTCTCGTTGTTATGCAAAGAACATTTTCTTGTCGACGAATCAGCACGGTTTCTTCTCTACCTGCGATTCCAGGCTGCGCTCGGGTCCCTATACCGTGCTCTCTCGACCATCGATCGTGGGTACCCCTGCCTCGAGATCGCAGATACGGATGTTCGGGCAGTGAACCAATTTTTCAGACGAGTCACGCTTCATTTTCCAGCGCGACATTTTGCCAAGTGCAACGACCGATCGCTGCACCGTTCGTTGCACTTTTCACGGTTCAACTTCCTCCAAGGTGGAGCGTCTCGTCGCTGCCATTATTAAATGTCACTCGCGTCGCATCGTGGTAAATCCCCGCGTAGCCTACGCTACTGTCCAAAGTTCGCACACTTCGCCTGATATCCTATCGCGAATCCCTAACGTTCAGAATGCCAAACTATGTCAAATGAAAATTCGCAGCAGAATACGAACGAAAATACAGTCACGCTAGTATCCAACTCGGAGATTGAACTTTCGAACGTAGGAACGGCGAAAAATCTGCATTGACAGACCATTTCGCAGTGGGAATTCCGCCCCTGCGCTTGGAGCCCTCGCGAACGGGGTCAGCCGACAAACGGTGGCGATTTGCATAAGAACTTTCGGTATGTGCATCGTATGCGACGCAATCCGTGTACGAACATCTAATTGAATATTTTATACCGTGACAGACGTCGGTTAATATCTTGTACCCGCTGCTCTACGACGGAGCTTCCACTTCGCGGCAGTCGTAACGAAAGACAATGCATACTAAACGCGTCGTAGGTAGCTGTACCCGCGCGTTGTAACATCGCTGCGAGTCACAGGGGACTCGACGAGCGGAATGTGGCTCGCAAAGACGATTTCAAAGTCATTCTCCTCGGCATTGTTCCCCGTCTTTCCTCCTTTTAACGCGAGGCACTCGTTCCGTGGTGCAGCGCGTGGAATCGCGTCCCGACGCTTTTCGCCAGCGTTAAAGATCGCGTGGGTGGTGTCGAAGGTCCCCGAGATCTCGATAGGAGAGCTCCGCGTAGCCTCGCGACGAGACCTAAAATTCGCGAAATATTTATAGACCGCAGCTGCACAATCGCACGGGCCGGTGTTCTCGTGGGAGCTTTCCTCCTCGACGCCTCCTCGCATGCAGGCATCCTCGTAGCCGCCGATGCAACGTAACGGTGCGTAAAAACCGCGTGGCACGACGGGTCAACGCTGGAAAAGATCATCCCATTAACGGTACACCCGCGTCGTCCTTTGAATTCGTCGCGCACCTCGCGCCGGCTCTCTCGCATAGAAAAGAGAGGCTAGCCTTTATACTCGGCGAGAAACCGGGGAATCGCGATGCTAATTACGCGAACTGAACGGCAACGAGTGCTCGCTTTGGAGCAACTCCAAATAAGACCCGCGAATTGCCCCGTAACTTTCCTCCAACTTGGATGCAGCTCGATCCGATTACACGGCGAACAACGTCAACCCTAAAGCTTCGAGCCTCGCGAACAACTCGCGATCCCGTAGACACTTTTGCACGAGACACACGAGTGCTCGAGGAGGAGCGAAGTGCTTGACATCGGTACATTGTTCTCGCCCTTAGCCCGCAGCAGCTGCGCTAAGTGGCTGCTTCTTTCAAATGCAAAGAGACGTCGCCGAGCGT